CAAGTATCTTCCTTGATACTTCTGGTGTGTTTATATGGACAATTCAGTGTTTTTTTAACTGACCACACCTAGCTAGGGTTTCCTCTGTTTAGGTGTTTGCCTACAAAAAATAAAATAAAGAAATATGTACAACTATGCTTATCAAAGGCGTCACCCTGGTAAGATAGTAATTAATTAATTAGTTATGAAAATATAATTTTCAAAGACAACAAGGACAAGGACAAGGTTAAGGACAGTGTATTTATTATGATAATATTATTTCAAGACAGAGATAATTAAAATTTTGAGTTAAAAACTAAAGATTACATGAAAGAGAAATTTACAACGTATTTATACATTTCAAAGGTTCTATCATCTAGGTCTACGATTCCTTTGAAATTCTAATTTATACTAATTAATATATTCTTCAATTAATAATTAAACCTTCTGTTTAGAATTATTTTCAAATAATTTCTAATTATCATGAGTCATGTAAAATTCTTTCATTTAAATATTATTCTGAGATTTGGTCATCTGTTACATTTTAGAATGTTGGAATATTTATATTTCCAATATTTCCGTGAGTCAATTATTTTATTGGTGTTTAAATGAATTGGACTGGTTTGATCACTTGATCAGTTTTTCTGATTTTATTTGTTTGTAACTTCATAAATCATTTCCGATTTATATATTAGTTTCCCGTGATTTATAATCTACTATTTTACAATATGAATGGAATTAATCTTAGATGAACCAGTGGAATAGGTTTAAGTAGATGATTTAAAAAATATGATTGTTCAGTAACTTATGAAGAGAAATTGAAAAATTTGGTCAACTGGCCCCATGAAAAATAATTATGTGCAAAAATTTCATGTTTCCTGATTTTTTATTAATATTAATAAAGATTTACATTTATCAAATATTAAAAATCATTATTGTAAAAACATCTTTTAAAAAAATTTTACACATGTAAAAAAATGAATGCCATTTAAATTGACCACCACTTGTATATTGATTAAATCATTAATACTAAGGAAATAGAATTATTGAAGGTAATGCCATTACAAAATGGAATAAAATAATAAATTTTTAAATACAATTAATTATATATTTTGGTTGATAAAAAACAAACTTAGCTTTTTTGTTGCTATTTAATCCTTTCCTTCTGTGAATACCTGCTCTATTAAATATTCATGGTGATTATTATGATTATTAAATACATTTGATGTTGTCATTGACATAACAAAAAATTGCATCACCCAGGTAGTAACAATACCAAGGCCATGCATGAATGAAACTTTTAATAATGCATGTCTACTCATATCTCTGGGGTTCACAAAATAAATTACTCTTCCTGATTATCAATCATGGTTCCTTATGAATAATAAATCTGATGTTGATTGCAGGTGTCAGATTTAATTAAAATTTTCCTACCACAAACATGCAATAACCATGCTTTCACATGCCCCATAACTGTGGATTTTTTTCCACAGGTGAGCCGTACACATGTTGGAAGGCTTTGGACAAAACTTTTCCTTATCTTCCCCTCAGATCAGGCTTGGCTGTCACCATATGGGCATTGATTGCTGATGAGAGTTGACATTTGTGTGATGTGTGATTATTGCTTTGTGTTATCACCACACTCACTAAAATAAAGTTGGCACCTGCAAATGGTTCAAAATTCAGCAACTCTGGAGGCTGCAACCTGGATTGCTGTTTTGGTTTTTCCCTGAATTCAGAGTTTTGAGTCCTGGGTTGCTGTAATTTTTATGAAAAGTAAAGTATTAATATTTAACAATTAATTATTTAAATGTTTATTTTGTTGAAAAAAATATATACATTGATAGTGTACATTTTCTGTGCTTAACATCCATGTGACCCAAATTCTGGACAAAAGATCCCTTTCTATGAATTTGGCTGATACATCCCAAAGGCGTCCCCTGTCTTGTCAGTGGCATGTCTACTCACCAACAACCCTACCCCCATTTACAAATTCAGTAGTGATGTTAGCCGACTAATAATCTGCATACACAATTTCTAAATTTGGTAATAGATTTCCGCGTTACCTTCTGGTTATAGAAATAAAATTACCAATTTGTGACCCAAAGTCTGGACAAAAGATCCCTTTCTACAAGTTTGGCTGGTACATCCCAAAGGCGTTCCCTGTCTTGTCAGTGGCATGCCTACTCACCAACAACCCTACAAATTCAGTAGTGATGTTAGCCGACTAATAATCTGCATACACAATTTCTAAATTTGGTAATAGATTTCCGCGTTACCTTCTGGTTATAGAAATAAAATTACCAATTTAGGTAATAAATGGCTTAGCCGGCTAAGGATTTTTAAATGGCTAACATCACTACTTAAGATAATTTTTTCTTTGTTTATTAGTTACCAATTCTCTAAATAAAAAGACTTTGTATTAAATCACAAGTTTGAAATAGAGCTTTACAATAGCAAAATATACCTTTGACAATGAACATTATAAGTCCTAGAATCATAGAAAAGATCATTTATTAGATCAAAATAAATTTGGCAGTTCACTCAGATTAATTTGGTAAAAGTGTTGATTTGAACTGAACAATCTTGTACTAAAAAAATAACCCTCATCACTTGCTAGTTAAGTTACCAATAACTCATGAAAATGTTGAATTAAACATACAGTAAAGTATACACAGAATTTAAATGATTGTATCCTAGGTTATATATGTAAATTTTTCATACTTCTGGTCTTGTCAAATTTTATGTTGGCAGAACTATTCTATGTATATATAAAGTTTTTTAACTCATGAGAAAATAATTTGACAATATAAGTTTTACAGATCACATGGGCAATTAATTTATTTCATAGTTTTTATTACTCAAACAGCAAGTTTGACATTCTTGAAACATATCTTCTAGTGTTGGTTGCCAAAACTATTTTGAAAAGGCGAAAGTCAAAACTAAAATTAAAAGTTATATGTCAAAACTAAATCAAAAGTCAATAGTCAAAATCAAAACTAGTTTTGACTTATGGCGAAACCTTTGACTTTCACATGGTTGCAAAACTCTCTAATTTTGGAAACCAACACTAATATCTTCATTATAATAATATTATCATCATCCTTATAATCCCATGTATTTCAATATAATTTGTTAATTGATCAAAATATAGGCAAAATTATACAAAATGTACTATTCTATTCTCAGGTAGTGGATTACTTTTTACACAAAATCAAAATTATACATGCAAGTTCCCAAAGCAGTGTTATGTGTTTTGACAAAATATGACACTGAAAGGAATGATTAGGCTGGTAACTACCCTAGAGTAGTTACCATTTCTGCAAACAACAATCACAGCAGATGTCTCTAATAACAACTCACCTGAAATTCTTGGTAATACCAATGTTCACTTTGTCTGGTTTTGTTGCAGCATGCTCCAAATAAAACCTCTAGTTTCAGATTAACTAAGATCTTTCACAGTAAGTTCTGGATCTCAAAGTTTAAAAAAGAGTGATTTTGTTAACCAACTTTACAAAATTTCTTATTAATAGTAACCATAGGAATATAGAACAAACTTCTAGTTTCAGACTATCAATTAATATGCTCTAAATTTGCCTTTATCTAAATTTACAAATATTTAAATGTATGAATTATTTAAAATAATTATAATATATATATATATAATATATACATACATAACATACATACATACATATTAAATTTATATATTTATAGTTTTATGAATTATTAGGAGTATTCTGGTTTTTATGCATGTATAGATTCAATGGGTAAGATGAATGATTTAGTTATAATCATAGAACATACATAATATTGGTTGATTATTTTTATTATCAATTATTTTTATTAAATGAGATATTAATGATATTAATGAATGATAGGTAAAGGAAAAATTTGTATATAATGTCATATCATCTATCTGATTAATATACTATATGTTAAATCACAAACAGTGACATTCTCGTATTGCTTAATCCTGTGATATGACCAGTTAATAAAGCTCCCGCCATTTTTTCTTTATTATAAAAAAAACGAAAAGATCTGCACAGAATTTAGCCAATCAGAATCTCTTTTCATGAAGTCAATAATTACGGGGTATTGTCCCCGGCTGAATTTAGCCAATCAAAATTTCTTCTAGAATTTTTCATAACATAGATCATTACAGTATTTAGTATTTACATATCAAGTAAAATACCTGACTGTACTATTTATTACTAATAATTTTTATATGGGATAAAAAATTAAATTATAAGAAGTTGATGATTACCTATACATCTAGAGTTACCTTTCTAAACTCTAACCTCTTTTCTAAACTAGTTTAGAAATCCTAAACTACTTTGAAACTAAACTGAAACTCCTAAACTATTTTGAAACTCCCAAAACTCCTAAACTATTTTCAAAACTCCAGATATTTTCCATAAATCAATGAATTTTTCCAATTTTCTTTTTGTGCAACTTTCATAAATCATCTCTGATTTAATTTTTCATGATCCATAGAATTACTGTAGTTGGCTCGGTCTAAAGATCTCCTAAATTTGGGCAAATTTTAAAAGTATAGAAGTCATTTTCTGTCCTATCTTTTAAAAAATAGCTCTATTAGTTGATAGAATATGTATTTAGTTTTAATGTAATAAAGAAATTTTCTTCAAAAAATTCTTTGTTGTAGAGTTCTATTCATTTTTAAAACATGTACTTTACTATAGATGCTGGTTGCAATTCTTGATGATGGTTGCAACCACCTTTGCGACCACTTTGGTTTCCTTTTTTGGATTGTGACATGGAACTCTATTACTTTACTATGCTCATGAGAAATTTAGCACCAGAATCATTGCTAAATTTAGACTAGTTTTTGGCCATCATTACTAAAGTTAGACTAATACTCAACCATCATATCTAAATTTGGCAGTAAGGAAAATAATTTTTTAATCAAATCCTTTTTTTAAAAAACTTTATTGCATTTTTGAACAAATCACAAAATCACAATTTTTTAAAAAGATAAATAATTCAAACTTCTCATCTTTATGGAAGATGAACAAGAGGAAGAAAATGAACAAAAAAGATTTAAGTTGACTATTGAAACATTGAAAGATCAAGTCCAAGTAGAAGACAAAGACCATGCTAATATTATGGCAGAATTGGCATATACAAAAAAACTATTAACAAATTCTGAAAAACAATGTATATATTATGTCAATATCATATAAGAAAATGAACAAAGAATAAAAGATTTAGGAATACAAAATACAAAATACAAAATTATTAAATGAAATATGAAAATAGCAAATTAAAAATTAAAAGAAAAAATAAATGCACCACTCAATGATAAGCATGATGGACATTCGTATGTTACACGATCACCAATATACATTTCAACTGAAGATTTTAAAGTACTATTACCCTATTTAGAAGGTGAATGGACAAACACTAATTAACCTGTGTTCAAACTTTGCAGTAATATAATCCTTTATCTTTTAAAACATTTTTCATGGATAATGTTTGTTCTATAATTATTGTTAAATTAATGGTTATTAGATAACATAAATAAAAATTTGCTTCTAATATCTATTTATAAAAACTTGTACAGTCAAACCTTGTTATAACAAACACACTGGTTTGGCCTCAATGATCCATTATAACGAGGTATTTGCTAACCAAGGTAATTGATGATCAGCACATGATACTTTTAAATATAATTTTTTTATTTAATTAATAATTTTTTTTTTTAATAATATTAACAACAATAATAATAAAATTGTCCAACATAATAATAATAATTATGAAAGCATAATGGACACTCATTTTGTGCAGCAGTCATTTGTATAATATGCAGGTGGTTACACAGAGCCCGTTGCTTCTGAAACTTCACTAGAATATAGCTGTAGCCTCTCTAAGTCCAGATCATCA